TTGGATAGAACTAGAAAGGAAGTCCCAGGATAGAGTGGGTTGGAGAATGCTGGTCGGCGGCCTATGCTCCATTGGGGGTAACAGACGTAATTAAGTTAGTAAATTCTTCTACTCATGTTAAACAAGTTTAAATTTATGATTACTAAACTTAACTATATGTGTATGATCGTTACTTTACTTTGTTCTGTTCTATCAGATGAAGTTGTCATTGACATTCTCAGTAACATTGTTAGCATATAATTTATGTAGTTTAGTGCTTATTCGGTTATTCCTAAAGTACTAAACAGTTCGTTCTTATGCTGTTATTTTTAAATGGTTATCAGCATGTATATTATTACTATTAGTGGCTTTATTCAATATTATATTTTTGGTACAATACAGAATTCTCAGCACGAGGTATTTCAATAGGTTTCCTTGTGATAAATATCGAGTGATCATCGGTTAGATGGTAACAATTCAGGAATCGACATCTAAACAATGTATATTCATTTCGATGCGTATGGCCAGCAACCACGATGTCTCTGATTGGGCTGTTTTGTAGCTTGTACAGTGAAATGTCATAAATTTTTGACAAACTCATCTGAATAGCTTATGAGACTAATAGACATAATAATGTTTTTGGAATATTCAGATGGCAGCAACAGGTAACTTAGATATTCAAACAGGTCGCCTCTATTCTCTGAACTATCTTTTTTCGATTGACCTCTATGATCAATTAACTTTTTCCGGATGAACTGATAAGTAGAATCTATATTGATCTATCTATTGATCTGAAGATTAAACTCATTTGCATACTTTTACAAGTTCCCTGAGACCTTTGGAATTTACTTGGTTATCAATTATTGTTTAGATCCATTGATCAAAACATTTACACAATCGTGATTCGATTCGGAATAGTTACTATTATTCCATTGTTGATATTCCAAATGAAATTTGATCCGTCTTAAGTGGTATATTAGCCATAATGACATAACATTATAAAGAATAGATGGAATGTGACTGTTATAAACGGTAGGTTACTTGTTATAATGCTAGGGTTACTTGTTATAACAGTCCTTTCACTTTTACATGTATATGGGACGTTAATTTACCTTAGACGAATATCTACACTAGATTCCCACCCAGTGTCTATTCTACAGGAAACTTCAACACAACTCAGATCAAGAACACGAGATTAGACAGACTATAACATCAATATATTTCCACACCAAGATCCAACAACAAGGAACAGTTAATTAATAATAATAATAATGATAGAGGAATATATAACACATATAACACCTGTCATCTTATCTAATGTCTTACTCAGCAAAACAACCAATCATTGTCATTCTCACCCATACATCAGTGACTAGAAATTGAATCCAAGATACGAGTTACATCTTATTCGAGACTCGTCAAATGGATGTATCTGCATCCCAGAGTTAGTATCTACTCTGAAATTCCGATCTAGTAACGCTAGGTTCAAGTGCTGATGCGTCAGTCAAAATATTGACAAACGAATAATTAATACCATTAAAGATTCACATTCATTGGACAAGTGAGGATCTATTGGGACTCAGTAGTTGTTTAATATCATCTTTTATAATTTATGAAATGGAATGTTTTCTTGTGCATACGCTTTCAATTGATCAATTATTTTCAATTTAATGGTTGAATTCATGAATCGATTTAAGCTAGGGTACTGAGAAAAACCTGAAGATATTGGACGGTCGTTTCGTCGTGGTATCGGACATCTTAGAAGTACATATCTGCGATTCAGCACACAGGATTCGAACTCAGAACCTTAGATCGTGCTTAAATCGATTCATGAATTCAACCATTAAGATTTAATTGATTTTATAAATAATCCTGATAAATGGTGAAGACAAACACTATGGAGTAGTAGTTAGTTATACTTTTGTTTTTGTATCCCTGTATTTTAACCAGGAAATAATCATTCACAACTTCAGATTATGTAGACTTCCTTCTATATCTAAACATATTTTCTTAATGAGTTGATTCAGTGTAAGACCTAAGGTCCTGGGTTTGAGTTCAGCGTGTGGGATAGTGGATGCGCACTGCTCAGGAGTCCGACACTAGAACAAAACGATCGTCCAATGTTTCCAGTTTTTCCAGGGTAGTCTAGCTTAGTTCATGAATACAACCATTAAATTACTAACATTTCCACGAAACCCCATTCTGATAGAAATTACATTTATCAGCAAAGATCGATAGTAGCTAGCAGTGGAATCCAAGACGCGCGTTTCGTCCTATTTCGATCTCTTCACCTGGCTGTACCTGCATCTCAGAATTGATGTTCACCCTCGGACTCGAACGGTACTGTGTTCGAGTTCAATTAAACAGTACCAAATGAAGTTACTGTTCATTTATTCAAACACATCAAAATGTAATACGTTTTTAAGCTTTATTATAATCATTACAATAGTTCAAAATCAGAAATATAATTTTGATTATTATCAGAAGGGGGTTTGTGGAGATTGTAGTAATTTTATAGTTGAAATCATAAATCAATTGAAGCTAGACCACCATAGAAAACCTGGAAGCACTGAACAATAGTTTCATCCTATTGTGGGACTCCTCAGCAGTGCACATCCACGACTCCGCCTCTAACCCAGGACTTATCAATCTCGCAAGTGAGCGCTTAACCACTAGACCACTGAGTCGGTCGGCATCCAACGGTGTTAATGTCTAACTTCAATCAGTCCACGAAATTTAGCAACCGTCCACCATTGTCTTCAGTGAGTTGATATCTCACAACAGATCTGGTTGAACTCCACTGATCACTGCTTCTCACTAGAACTCTAGGAAATATCTTTTGAAGCCAGTTACTATTGAGCATATAATTATTATCAGAAAGGGATTTTTGTGAAGATTTTAGTAATTTCATAGATGAGATCATGACTCACTTGAAGTTAGACTACCATTGAAAGCCTGAAGGCACTGAACGACCGTTTCGTCCCATTGTGGAACTCGTCAGCAGTAGATTGGTTGAAGTTAGACATTAAAACCGTTAGATGCCGGCTCAGTGGTTCGAAACTTCAGCGCTCATACTTCTGAAGAGTTGCACAATAGGATGAAACAACCATCCAGTGTTTCTAGGTTTTCCATGATAGTCTAGCTTCAATTGATTCATGATCTCAACTATACATTCTGATTAGACAAGTATAAAGAGTACTTGAATATATTAAAGATCATTTCTAATCAATCATTAAGAAGTAGTAAACATTATCCTTATCAAAGTCCTTAATTATAATAATAAGGTCATAATCTTATTTATTGTATATACAAGATGAATATAAAACTATCAGATGACTTAATCATAGTTTAATGCACTATAAACAGGGTACCATAAATGGTGGTTAATTATAGAATGAATTACTGTATACATTAAAAAAAACACAAAAAGAACTGATACTTCACATGTGATTAAGATCAATCTTTGAAACTTAAATCATTCAATCCTATCATTATATTCATTAAATTTACGATTATAAGTAAAGAAGAATAATGGTTAGTAGTGGAGTCTAAGATGGGTGTTTTGTCCTATATTGGACTCATCAGCTGAATGCATCTAGATCGCAGAATCTTGGAGTGAACATTAACCCTGAGATGCATGTATATCCAGTTGATGAGTCCAGAAAAGGACGAAACACGTGTTATAGATTCCATTACTAGCCACTATCCATCTTTGCTTATAATGCTTGTGACTTAAGGTAATATTGAGACAGTCAGCACAGGATGCAAATATGCTTATAAGGGACAGATCATTTGTAGTTCTACACATTAATAGGAAGATACAAGTAAACAATACCAAGTGAAATAAAGTTATGATTATTCTTTCACACTAAAGACTTTCATTATGAATTACATATAGATTGAGACGTGTCAGTATGAAATTCCATTAAAAAGATTATACAGTTTCATTACTTCTACCAAGTTTACTGTTGACTGATCAACTCGTTTAATTTAATGGATAAACTAGAGAAGACTTAGTATCCAATGTATCGGTTAAGTGCTCTGGCCCGAGACTGGTAGGTCTTGGGTTTGAATCCAGCGAGGTGAGATCGTGGATGCGCACTGCCACTGAGGAGTCGCACAATAGGATGAAACGGCCGTCCAGTACTTCTAGGTTTTCCATAGTGGTCTACCTTCAATTGACTCATGATTTCAACTATACTTGTCAAAATACACACAAACTTACAAATCTTGATCCAATTTGATTTTGGATAACAAGAATCTCATTGAATTTTTTTTTCATTTCATCATAATTAGAAACTAAATTTTAAAATAAACCATTACAGTAACCAAGATTTTATTCAAATAACTAACTGATATATACATTATTTCGATGAAAGTGGTTATCTCCAATGACTACATAGCAAAGACATATTACTCATATTAAATAAACCTACTGAGAGTGATCCTTAAACCTAACATATCCTTACTTACTTACGCCTGTTACACCTCGTCGAGGAGCATAGGCCGCTCACTAGCATTCTCCATACAACTTTGTCCTGAGCCTTCCTTTCCAGTGCTTTCCAGTTGTTATTCATCCTTTTCATATCTGCCTCTATTTCCCGACGTAATGTGTGCTTTGACCTTCCTCTTTTCTGCTTCCCTTCCGGAATCCAAGTAAAGGGATTGCCTTGCATCTCCTCACGATGCTCCACTGCTTTGTGGATCAGACCTTTAGGTCAAAGGCTCCGAGTGTGTTCCCCTAAGAAAACCACTTGCTTCAGTTTGGGCACCTGTGCAGTATCACAGCCCTCACACAAATCTCATTTGATTTGTGTGGCGCATATTTATCTGGTGCTTCCTTGTACCAATATTTGTGTTTAAATAAAATAATAAATAAACATTGGTGATTTCCTTAATGTACTAACATATCCTAATAACTACATATATGAGTATATTTGAATCTAAACTTAGAGTTCAGACAAAATTCGTCACCGTAGTTCACTTTACATCAAAAAATGATGGAGAAATCACAAACCTTAATTGATTATAACCATATTATTATTGTACTACAATAAGATTTTATTACTTGCAGCAAGTAATCATCTGAAAAAACTTTCATGACTATAGAGAAAAAGATGTTCAACAGAATAGAATATAGTCCATACTAAAAGGAAACAAGAACAAATATATGACAATAGGAAGATGGTTAAATTAAGTAAATATATTGAACAGTAAGAAGTAGCCGAAAAGATAAATGATTCTATTCATAAGAACAAAATATATGTATATATCATTCTTCTTGTCCGTAAAGTGTGATTTAAGTTTTGTGAATGACAAAACACTTTAGACTCAATGAATTACATTATTAGATTACCAAATATTTAAAAAAAAAAAACAAAGAAAATAGAAGAAAATTATTTAAAGTAAATTCGGTATATTTCTTAACAAAAATATATGATTTACAGATAAAAAGGACAAAAGATGAGAACAAACAATAGTGACACCTAAAAAAATCTGAAAAACTTCACAAACCAAATAAATGTAATGAAATACATTTAACTACTCACTATTAGTCAGTAGCATCAAAATGTTAGTTGAAAAAAGTATGAACACAATATATATGCTTAAACCTCTAAAGACGACGAAGACGACGAAAGATGAATGAAACTTTACAAGAAGCAACAAATAAATTAACATATAAATGTATAAAAAAATTTATCACAAAGCTTTTATAGACTCAGTATAAATTTACCAAAGAAAAGTATCATCCATTTTTTCACATGTTCAAAATGATTCATCATCATCAATCAATCAATCAAGGAAAGAAAGAAAGAACACAAACGACAAATACTTTTCAATAATAAAAATTTATATTATGATCACGGGAAAAAAAAAGTACCTATCTGCATCATATTCACATGAGAAAGAGAAAAGAAGAATAGCATTATAGTGATTAATAATAAGTTAACCACATGGTAATTCTAATTTCCCAGATTCTAAAATAGATTCACTATCTAATATAAAAGATAATTGAAATTTCAATAGAAATTTTTCCTGTAGAAAAAAATAAGGAAGGTAGAATTTAATGAATCATTTATAAATATATACAGGGGAAAATATCACTAATAGACATTTGATAATTAAAATAACCAGATTTCAGCCAGTCAACCAGTTACAACGTAAGACCAGGCACTTATATGCGTCGGTTCAAGTTGTCATACCTTGTTAGCACAACAAGATGAACACCGGATTCACAGAAGTAGTTAATTTAGTGGTGGTAGTATATAAACGAAAGGTTTTATATAAGGATATAGTATAGGAAGGAAGAGAGATATTAAGCAATTTTATTCTCAATGTTTAAGGAAAGATAAAGACAGTCATGTCACCTAGAGTCTTCAACCATTGGTTACGATAGTCACGCGGACCCCAACCAGGTAGTCTGCATCTACCAACATGGCTTAGACTAGAAGTTAGTGACTTCAAGCACTGATGCCATGTTTTGGTTTGGCCGACCCTAACTCTCTTCCAACCATCCCCTACACTAGTCAGCATAGCGCGTCGTGGCAATCGGTGTTCAAGTATACGTAACACGTGGCCCAACCATCTCAGTCGATGAAGATTCATCACCTCATCAACTGATTTACCATCATTTCCTAATACCCTGTATCGAACCTCACTATTACTTACTCGGTGATCCCAGCAGATGCGAGCAATATTTCTAAAGCATCTGTGGTCAAATACTAGTAACCTACGAGTATCTTCTACTCTTAATGGCCATGTTTCACAGCTGTAAAGTAGAACATAGCGAACTGCTGCACAGTATACTCATCCGTTAATTGATAGATGGATATCTCGCCTTCGCCATAGGTGACATGAGTTGGCAAAAGCCAAACGAGCTTTTTGAATCCGTGCTGAGATTTCGTCAGGCAGTAACCCATTAGGGCTGATCAGACTTCCAAGATAAGTGAAGTTGTCAACGCGTTCGACTACTTCACACCCTACCCTTATTTCAGGTGTTGACGCTGGCCAGTCCACAAGCAACAACTTGCATTTAGAGGAGAAGAAACGCATCATGAACATCCTGGCATTGTAGTTCAATGCTATCAAAAGACTCTATATTTTATCAGTGTCTTCACCAAACAGGGCTATATCATCTGTGTATTCGAAGTCGATAAGTGGACGTCCTGTTAGGAGATCAATTCCTTAAAATTCAGTCGATGAGAACATTATTTCCAGCAATAGGTCCATAATGAAGTTAAACAGAAATGCAGGTAGTGGACAGCCTTGTCGGAGAGAGGAAAAAGCACATCATACGACTAACTAATTGATATGAAGAACTACGATTGATGTGTTGTATATAGTTATCTAATCTATCTAGTTGACGTAGATCCTATTTTATATTAAAAGCAATGGCTGGCAGACAACTAACAACAATATTCAGAAACGGATTTTTGCTCACATTTAGAACGAATGAAACACACGTTTAACAACTGGACTAATATGAATTAACTTATGATTCTTACAAGTCTAATTGGATTATATTCAGCAACTAGTTTCATCATGTTCTAATACCATAATATCATAACATCCTGAATCCATAACAAGTAATAGACAACAGTGATAGATTATTTTCTACATAAAAAGCGAATGTCCGACGCTTTAATCGGGTTGGTGGACACGGAGAGTCTACCTAGGGGAGTTGGAAAACCTTGATTTTAAACCAATGGTACACATTGGCCCCAGTATCCTGAGGAAACAAATGGCGTATAAATCAATCATTGGTTACGGGCTACCATGGGACTGCATCTCCTTACGATGCTCCACTGCCTTGTGAGTCAGACCATTAGATCAAAGGATCCAGGTGTGGCCCCCCAAAAAAATCATCTGCTTAGGTTTGGGCACCTGGACAGTATCACAGCCCTCATAAAAATCGAATGATTTGTATGGCGCATATCTATTTCGTGGCTACCTCCTTATACCAATTTTTATGTGTTTAAATAAATAAATAAATAACTTACCAATTTGGATGGATTATAAATTAATAATACTTGGCTGATTGATGCAGGTGGTAGAAAAGTTGTATAAGCTGGAAGGTTTTGTCCAGATGCAATAAGTTGTCGTATTTTAAAAGGCTATAAGGATAAAGAAATCAACTAATTAATAACAGGATCAAAACAGATCATCTATTGTTCAATTTAATGTAAGAAAATTTCAATTGAAAGTATAGAAAAGTATTTACTTGAAGTTCCGTGAAAAATTCATTTCATTTCGATTGACTAGACCAATTGGATATTGAGAATAACTGGTAGTGTAGTGAATGAGAACATCAGTAAGGACTATCGTAACCAATGGTTAGAGACTCTAGGTGACATTGCTCAAAATCGATCACAATGACGTAGGTGTATATACTGTTCATCTTCCCCTAAACCTTGAGATTAAAATGACTTCATATCTGTCTTTCTTCCTGTACTATATCCTTATATACAACCTTTCATTTATATATTACCACCACTAAATTAACTACTTCTATGAATCCGGTGTTCATCTTGTTGTACTAACGAGGTATGGCAACTTGAACCGACGCATATATGTGCCTGGTCCTACGTTGTAGCTGACTGACTGACTGACTGGCTGAAGGACAAATTTACGGAATGTCTTGGTAAAATCTGAGAACTATATAGTAAATACTTCATTTGCAAAATGTCAGTCAATCGTCTCAGACTTCATTGTTCCTTCGTTTGCACATCAACCATTCTTTGTTCTCGTTCTCTTTTCTTCGATCTTCTTAACCTTCTACCTCCAGGCATTTTACTTTCGATTGATAATACATACTACTTATATCTGTTGACAACAGTAGCACACACCACAGTAGTGGTGTACTTACAAATTGCATATTTGTACACATGTATTAAGTTAAATCAGTTCATTCGCCAGGTACTTACTCATGAATGAGCCACATTCGAAGCGTGAGAGCCAATGATACTACTTGGTTGCCTGAACTGAAGTAACTAAGATAGGGTTCGAACCTGAAACTTAGCGGTTGAAAGTAGAATGTTTTTAAAATACTGTGTGGATAAGATTTGTAGCTCAGGTGGAGTTTGTACTGATGATGTCGTTCAGAAGGATGATGAAAGCTCCACGACCAAACCATCCAGCTCAGAGAACAAAACTCCATCAAAATCGCATTACGCATACCGGAAACTACTTTTGGCATACATTTACTCATTTTCTAGTGAAATTTACACGAAAACAATACACCTCTTTCTAAGGTTTAGTAAACATTATAATACAGTATGGTATTCACAATTGACTGATCACTGGGTGGTGATCAATGTCATGCGTGTCAAGTCCATCTTAGTGCTGATCGAATGCTATCGAACAAGTTGCAATGTGGCCACTAATCTAGGTGGCTCGACAATGCGTGCATTCGATCAGCACTAAGAAGGACTTGACACGCATGACATTGATCGCCACCCAGTGATCAATCAATTGTGATTACATCTCAGTTCTACAGGAGGTCGGTCGCGGCCCGAATGGATCGGTGGTAACGTCTCTGACTGTGAAGCTGAGTGACGCGGGATCAAATCCTTCAGGGAGCACCAGTTCCCTCGAAATTACAGGTACACTTTGCTGACGAGTGCCGAGTAGCACGAAACTTGGGTCCAGGGTTTCCTGTTGACCATCTCCAACCACGATCTTATCACAGTATGGTATTCCATGTCTGACTAACATGTAAAACATAAACACCTAAAATCATTGTAATATATCCTGATATCAAATTAACAGAATCGCTAATCCAAGAAAACAGGATATATCTAACTTTTAAAATATAAGTTAAGAACTGTGAACTAAACGTCACAGACAGAAAACTAGAAAACAGATGTTTCGTGAGTTTACTCTATTGCAACCGATGATACAAAATTTTAATAGTAATCTGCCATCACTGAATATGGTCATCGTGCTGACACCGTAAACAGCATATGTTTATCTTCCAGCACAACTCCTTTAAACACTCAGTGATTTCATGAAATGATGTCACAATTTTGTTAGACTGTTTCTAGTACTCGAGTTTACCTTACGTGAGATCTTAACAGGTTCAAGTATTTATTTATTTATTTAAACACAAATATTAGTACAAACGGACCAAAAATATATACGCGTCACAAAATTATTAAATTTGTGTTTAGGCTGGAATACTGTACAGGCGCCCAAACAGAAACAGGCAGTTTTCTTAGGGGGCGACTCCTCAGAGCCCTTGACCTAAAGGTCAAAGGAGCACGATCAGCAGATGCAGTCCCATGGTAGCCGGTTAACAATAATTGATCTATGAGCCATTTGTTCTTTCAGGATCCTGAAGCCCATGTACACCATTGGTTTGGAATCAGAGTTTTTCAACTCCCCCAGGTGGATCCTCAATTTACTTATTTATTTATTTAAACACATTGATACAAAAGGGCACCAGATACATATACGTCACACTTTCATCAGCGGCCTGCTTGAATACCTGGGCTACCTGTTTCTGCCATCTAAATATTTCAACAAGTTATCTGGGTTTTTTTAATTTGTTTTAACCTATCATTATGTCTATTAATCGCATAACCTACACAGGCGCGTTTATAAAAAGCTTACGTCCTTTCGCTGCAAAAATTACAAACAAGCACAATAAGAGACATCGTGGTGGTTGGCAATATGCTTTAAAGAGAATAAACATCAATCAAATGTCGATTCCCGAGCTACTTAACTCTAACTGTCGATCACTAATTAACAAGGTGGACTATCTCCAATTTCTGCTAAGTCAAAACATGTATCGTAATTGTGGTGTCATCACAATTCAAGAATCTTGGTTAACTGACTTACAGGATGATTGCTTAGTGTCATTACGTGATTTTAATATCTATCGTCAGGATCGATCAAACAATAAAAAGACTTGTGGTGGCGGAGTAGCTACTTTTGTAAACGTTAACTGGTGTCGATCTACTTTTGCCTGTTTCAAGTTTTCAAACGACTTTATTGACTGTCTAACTTTAAGGTGCCGTCCAAAACACCTGAATAAATACAAATATATTTATGTTACCAATATCTACATGACTCCAGACTGCACATCATCTGCGCTATCTGTCTTCACTGATAAATTTACTGAATTCGCCGTTACTGCCTTCAGTGATTCACTTTCAATTGTATGTGGTGATTTCAATTCATGTGACTGTAGCTTCCTTACATCACTAGGTCACCTAAATGTAGTAGATTTTCCTACTCGTTTGAATGCTCATCTAGACTTGGTTTTCATTAATGATGTGGGTGCCTATGTGACTCGCAAACGTGCTCCATTGTCTAGTTCGGATCACTGTATAATTCGTGTCCTGCCTAAAGTATATGGTAAACATGGAAAGAGTACACACATACTCCATACCAAAAAAGTAATATATAGGAGTTACTCAGAAGAAAATTTACAAAATCTGAAAAACATGTTTCGTACGACCAACTGGGAAGTACTTACAGATGACTCAATAGAAAACACAACGGATGTCATCACCTCTTATCTTAAATTCTGTTTTGATATTTGCTGTCCTACCGAAACCTTCTTTTTAAGTTTTGATCGACTTACATCTCCACAACTAAAACGACTACGGAGGGTAAAAGAAAGGATGTACAAGGAGAAAAACACTATTGAAGTTCGTAAGTTAAATGATCAAATAAACCAAGAGATTAGACGTCTCAACTGTGTGTTCACTCAAAAACTCCTATCTTGTAGAAGCTCTCCAAGTATGTGGAAACTCTTTAAAGAAATTACAGGGGACAGGCAGACTAGAAGCGAAAACCAGCTAAATGTTTGTGACTTAAATAAGTCCTTTATTCATCAGTCATCTGACATCATGCTCCCTATATCCAAGGGTTTGAAGAATAGTTGTGTCCCCAGTTTTACTGAAAATGATGTCCGGAAATGTCTCCAGTCTCTGAATTCATCTCAATGTTTAGGACCTGATGGTATCCCAAACCTCCTTTTTAAAAAATGTGCTGATGTTTTATGTTATCCATTAACAAATATCTTTAACAGATCCTTCTCAACTAATGTCTTACCGAAAATGTGGAGAAAGATAAAGATAATCCCTATACCTAAGAAAGCTTCTGGTGATAAAAATGCGAAACTTAGACCCATTGCAATAACCTCACCTTTCCTCAAAATAATGGAAAAATTACTGATACAACCACTTCAACCTTCAATAAAAGAGTACTGTGATCCATTTCAGTTTGCTTACAAATGCAAAAGAAGCACATTAGATGCCGTTGCTGTTCTGCATCACAATATAGTGTTCGGGTTGGAAAAGGGTAAGAAGTATGTTAGATGCGCTTTTCTGGACTTTACTTCTGCTTTTGATTCTATTCCAAGACACCTCTTACTTAACAAGCTGATTCGCATCGACACTGACAGCTGGATAACCAATTGGCTACGCTCCTACCTTTCTGGAAGAGAACAGTACACTGTATTTGAAAGAAAGTGTTCAACATCTCTACTGTCTACTGTAGGTGTGCCACAAGGAGCTGTTCTTTCACCTCTGCTCTTCTCTTTCTTTTTGCATGATCTGCCATCTTCCACAGAAAACACTTTTGTAAAATATGCGGACGACCTCACTGTATGTATGCCAATTTCTACCTCCTTACATCCTATAGAAATGAATGAGTTTTTGTCTCGTATTGAAAGGTGGTCTGTTGGTAATGGTCTCTTACTCAATCCATCTAAATGTCAAGCTGTTAATTTTAGCTTGAGACATGGACAGAACCTATACTCTATGTTGGGATCCCATAATGCTTGTGCCATTGGAGACTCCTTAATAAACACAGTGTCGAGGGTCAAATATCTTGGTGTTACTTTTTCCTCTGATCTTTCTTGGTCTTCTCATGTTTTACTATTATCGAAAAAAGTTTACCGCTTGACATACTACATTAAGAGGCTGCATGCTTTTGGGATTACTCGCCATTTACTCTTACAATTTGTAAATTCCTGCATATTACCTATTATTTTATATTGTTCTCCATTATTCTTTCCTGGGCTTTTGAGAAAAGACTTTGCTATTTTGCGTAGAATGCTGAAGGCGGTTTGCAAGGTATGTGGTGAATCTTTTGAAGTCATTGTTAATATGCTTGTGGATAGACATCTTAAGTCTTGCAAACTCTTGGCAGGTGTTATCTTATCAGATACTAACCATCCGCTTCATTCATATCTTTCTCCTTGTATATCTTCTGGTAGAACGAGACGTAAATACATTAAAATCCATGCACGCAAGCAAATCTATAAAAGTTCTGTAATACCTTACTTAGCAAATTTACTTTGTGACGAACAGGCTGTTAGAGTTGACCTAGTAAATAACCTGTCTTCTTAAGCATGTATCAAATTCGATAATTTGTATAAAGTCGGTTTTTCCTAGACCTTTTTTTTGTTTTTTTTTTGTTTTTTTTTTTGTTTTTTTGTTTTTTTTTGTTTTGTTTTGTTTGTTTTTTCGGGTTTCCTTTTTTGGTAAAAAACTTGTTGAAATAACTCGTGCTGAGAATTCTATATTGTACCAGATTATAATATTGAATAAAGCCATTAATAATAATAATAATAATAATAATTTATTTGTGTGAGGGCTGTGATACTGCCCACACGCCCAAACCGAAGCAGGTGGCTTTCTTAGGGGACCACACCACCAGCCTTTGACCTAAAGGTCTAACCCACAAGGCAGTGGAGCATCGTGAGGAGATGGTAGCCGGTGACCAACAATGGGTTCATACGCCATTTGTTACCTCAGTCTACTGGAGCCATGTGGTTTGGAATCAGGGTTTTCCAACTCCCCTAGGTGGACTCGCCGTGTCCACCAACCCGGTTAAAGCGCCGGACAGTCGCTTCTCTTCCTCTCAATTTCGTGAACAACACCCTCGCCACGAGAGGGCATTGAGTAGGACTTCCCTTGTAGAGGCTATATACGCGTGGCCATTTGAGAGGGAGAGCGGACTCTCCCCACTCTCGACCGCACCAGGGTATTTGGGAGCATCCTCAATATCCACTAATTACAATAACAATATCACCGATAATAATAATCATCTCACCTTTTCAACACCAAATCTAACATTAATTTCCGTAATCGGTAAAACATTTCGACTAGATATAACAGCAACAAAAACCATTACATCAGGATGTGGTTTATTATTAGTATAATGTAATGTTAATTGTATGTTATAAGTATTATCACTACTGTCATTCTCTTGTGATAGATTAGTTGGATAAAGTGTTAATGGTGTTTTATGTATTGAATGTGGTTGAACAGAAGAAAGTTGAATATCAAATGATTTAAGATCAATCATACATTGTGATGTAACTTCTGATGATGTCATTTCTTTCACTTTGTGATTATGATTACTAGTAGGGGTATCTTTCATGTTTACACATAAGGGTGTATTATCATCATCATCATCATCAGGTTTTAGTTTACTCGGAGAATTATTTGATAATAATATTGATAGATTTGTATCTGTCAAAGCATTTGTTCTATATGGATATGAAGGGAAAGTAAATAGAATATTAAAACTGCGTAGAAACAAAAAAAAATACATCATACTGTTATATCCCGATAACAATAGTGAATGGTAACTTTGGGATCCATTTATAGACCATTGTTATGCTTATAATTAAACTACTCATATTCATGTTCCTTTCATTGTGAGCTTTATTTTGACCCTTGAACTGTTATTGTACGATTTACCAATCTTGAGTTATCCTTAGTCTATTAATTGCTGCCTCCCACATTCACAGCTACATTTGGCTAAATCTTGTACAAATGTTATTTTCTATTTTATTGGTACGATGTGGTCAGTCTGTTTGGTATATAAACTCAGTATGTTTGAAATACAAGAATTCATACCGTAGAGGCTGTTATTGGTGTTCTGGACTTAACTAGCTGGGCTGGGCAGAAGCAGGATCGACAAGCACTCTAGACTGCTCGTACGGTTTTCGTGTGTCACTGTTCCAATCGATAATTCGCTGCTCTTTGATTGGCGGTCTTATCACGTCATACACATTAACTGGGCATCCACTCGGCCACAAGTTATAACACATACAAATATATTATTTTGACCAAATGATTTGTGATTTGGAAATAGTTAATTATCATCAATTGATATTAGGTTACAGAAACATTGAAAACCAAGGAACACTTATTACCAAACTTATTAGATGATGATCTTTGCGTTACATATCATCAATTGAATGGATATGTATATATGGATTGATTAAATGATCTTGATGTATCATGCACACGGTGAAGTCTGAAAATTCTCAATTCGATACTGTGCAGGGTGGTGAAAACAATACTTGGAAGACATCAGTATAAAAATACCAATTTAATCAAGTGTTCTACTCTTAACTGCCTTAAAGTAGTACAAATCAAACTATTCTTTAGTATTGTAAGCAAAGATGGATAGTGACTAGCAGTGGAATCCAGAACGCGCGTTCCGTCTTATTCTGGACTCATCAGCTGGATGTACCTGCATCTCAGAGAAACTGACCTGTTGCAGTCCTAGACATCAATCGAAAGATTCAATTTTTTTTATTTATTTTATTTAAACGCATAAAAATTGGTACAAAGAAGCACCAGATACATATGCGTCACACAAATCGAATGAGATTTGTGTGAGGGCTGTGATACTGACCGGGTGCCCAAACCGAAGCAGGTGGTTTTCTTAGGGGACCACATCACCAGCCTTTGACATGAAGGTCTGGTCCACAAGGCAGTGGAGCATCGAGAGGAGATTCAGTCTCATGGTAGCCAGTGACCAACGATTGGTTCATACATCATTTGTTACCTCAGGATACTGGAGCCCATATGCACTATTGGTTTGGAATCAGGGTTTTCCAACTCCCCTAGATGCACTTTCCGTGTCCACCAACCCGATTAAAGCACCGGACATTCGCTTTTCGTCCTCTCAATTTCATGAACAACACCCCCGCCACGAGAAGGCAGTGAGTAGGACTTCCCTGGTAGAAGCTATATATTCTCTGGCCATATGAATGCATTTCGAGAGGGAGAGCGGACTCCCCCCACTCTCGGCAGTACCAGGGCATTTGGGGGCCATTTGCAGTCCTAGACATCAATCGAAAGATTCAAACAAACAATACTAAGTGAATTTAAACTCCACCCCATTGCACAAGCAAGTGGCTATCAGAACTCAGTAGCTGAGTGGATAACGCAATGGCGTTTGAAGGGAAAGGTACTGAGTTCGAGTCCCAGAGTGAACATCAACTCTGAGATGCGGCAGGTATATCCAGCTGAAGAGTCCCAAATAAGACGAAACGCGCGTCCTAGATTCCACTGCTAGTCACTATCCATCTTCTGCTTATAATGCTTGTGAATTTAAGCTATATCGAGGCAATATGCACAGTATGCACATATGCCAATAAGAAACTGACCAGTTGCAGTCCTAATCATCACTGGGAAGATTCGAACAAGTAATACCAAGTGAATTTATTCTTTAGTATATTCTCACATTTATCAGTAGATCGACATTTACCCTGAATCATATGTGCATTAAGTTATTAAAAACCGAATAAGATTTTTATATCCGTACTGACAAATTTGACCAAACCCTAAAGAATTAGAGCTAATGAGACTATAAAGGTAATTGAACCAGTAAAGCAGTTCGATAAATTTGCTTCCTAAGGTCATATTCGACATTGATGAAGATCATTCTCGAAATAACACTTTGTATTTGGCGGAAAAGCAAACCATTTAAAATACTCTAGTAATCCCCTATGAAATATTCATAGGATTACAGAATGAATCAGTCCCCTCACCAAAATAGAACTACATTATCATCAAATTACAATGACACGAAAATTAAATCGGTAAATAAGGGATTAACTCCGAATAAGCGAGGTTTGGAAGATGGAAAGTCATGATGAAAGAGGTCAATGCAAAAAGAGTTGCACTACCACAAACCATACTGAGACTTGGCTAAATATGTAAGGTGACATTTTATTCATCAATCGATAGGTCAGAAAGTTTGAATCCAGGCTATTTAACGCTTTATAGTACATCATCATCCATTTACATATAAATAGTCATCATCCAAAAAATAATTAAAGAAAAAGGGTTTTTACAAAAAGATAAAAAACGCAATGAGCAACACTTACTTTGATAAGTTAAGCATTTGACGACTCAAACTATCTAGTTCACTGAAGACATTGGAATTAGAATTTACAGAAGATTCATGTTCAGAAGACAATGATTGTTTTGAAGTTTTGGAATCGACAGAACTGAATATTGATGGGTAAAGTGTTGACGAGGTAGGGAGTACTGGGTGGAGAGATAAAAGTAAACATTACAAATTCTTATTAGTGTTAGTAGGAGTATGGTTCATCAAAATAATAATTAGCTAATGAAGTCACAGAACATCATTCCATTTGAATATTATTAACATAAAAAGTGATATTCATTAGAAGCCAGTAAGAATTAGGTATCCGTTTCGTCCTACTAAAAGACTCTTAAGCACAAAGCCTGAAACTCAATTCCCGAAATACCAGAAAGTGTTTCCAATAAATAGAATATCCAAAGGACTACGGTACAAAACTAGCACATATTATGATTTCTGACAATGGAGCATAACATCATTTCCAATTGATTCTACGTAGAAAACAACATCAGTTATGTAAGGTTCAATCTAATCCCATATGCATAGCTAGTATTTACGACTGAAATAGAGACTGACATGATTCAACTAATGGAAGAGAGAAAAGAGGATAGATGAGAATTCATGATATACCAAAAATAAATCGATAATATCTTAGTCCCAAAGGATGTTTGTCGCTCTCCATAGCAGCTCAATGGTAACGCCTAAGAGTGCATCTGCGAGATATAGGTTCGAATTACATGCGGAGAGTTAGTCTCCTTCAGATTCCAGGCAAGTATTATTGATGAGTGCTAACTAGCACGAAGCGTGGTCTCGAGATTTTCTGTTCACTATCTTCCACCACCTAACAAACCAACAATATGTTATGAATATAATGTTTCTGTATATTCTATTAATAGTGATTAATAGTTCGAATTTAAATATATTGAAACAAGTACCACTTACAACTGTTCACTTCCGACCGTTGCTGCTACCTTGACGTGGTGGCCAAGCTTGCCTATCGTGATGAATCAATCGAGCTATGCTGGCTGGAACAATCTTTCCAAAAGCTCCTACCATGCCAGACATGTCGGTTGAAGAGCGGTAAGACTAAAAGCAGCAAACCCAAGGTCCGAAGGCGAAGTCGTACTGTTGACTGTATAGAGGTGTGACAGCAGTAAGGTGTTTCCTTCTGATAATCAGCATGACAGCGATGCTGCCTTCCCACAAGGATGAATGGGGTTAGAAAACGTCGACCCTAACAATAAACACCTCGCCTTATCCCACGGATATCCATCACCGGCGGTAAGGTCCCAACAATTACGGAGCTAACACAAAAAGGTCGTGTGTAACCGACCTCAAGCAATTGTCCCTTGGGCAATGCCGTCACGCCCTCAGGTCATTAATACCACTTCTAACCCAATTTGCTTTTCAGGTACCCCTAGAAGAACCCTTCCACGGTGTGGGCAACCGGGAAGTGATAACTGCCCTCATACCTCTAACAGCACTCAAGACGACTGTATTCATAATCAATCTCCGACTGACTGACAACTGTTTACTGGATGAAAACAATTTATAAGTTTCATAAGATCGAAATTGTACAACTAACATGAGTAACTGAATACTGGAATTGTATTGTTGTCCTCCTAACACAACATTACATAATTATCAAACATATAAACTCAGTATACAACAGAGGGTTCGGCGAAACATAAGTGAATTTTACCAAATGATTTCAACAGAATGTGTGACCGACATGAACGAATAATAATAATAATGACTAATGATCCATATCACAGTACCATAGAATCAAAATAGTCTCGTAGTAAATTATTAACCCTTTCTCAATGTTCCTAATGAAAAATGGATTTGAGTCAATAATTTCACAGACAATCAAGTATTTTTAATTACCTACCCATTCAGTCAGTCACACTGTAGGACCAGGCATATATATGCGTCGGTTCAAGTTGCCATACCTCGTTAGTACAACAAGATGAACACCGGATTCATAGTAGTTAATTTAGTGGCGGTAGCATATAAACGAAAGGTTGTATATAAGGATATAGTATAGGAAGGAAGAAAATTACGAAGCAATTTTAATCTCAATGTTTAAGGGAAGACAAGGCGTGTATACACCTACGCCATTGTGATGGATTCTGAGCCATGTCACCTAGAGTCTCTAAACATTCGTTACGATAGTCAAATCAGTTAGTCACATATAACGTAAAACTTAGTGAATACGTGTATCGGTTTATGTTGTTACACCGAATTCGAACAGAGAGATGAACTTACCAAGATAAATGACAGAATAATAGAAATAGTAAAAGTATTCAGTGGTAGTAGAATGGATTATGTATAGACAACATGATCTGAGGAAATATGAATTAGTGGGATATGTAGTATAAGACAGTTCTAATACTCAGGATCCAAAGGAGGAGAAAATTAGATACATTTAGACAATTATGACAGATTCTAATCCATCTCACACAGAATCTCCAAACAATGGTTATGATAACCATGCGGACCCCAACCTCGTAGTCACTACCCACATACATGGCTCGATCCGATAGATTTTATGAAATAATGCTTTAATTTGGCGCCCCATTAGATTTCCTTCAACCTACTCTGAGACTATCAAACATCGTGCATTGAGGTGGTTGAGCATAAATAATACATACCTCAGCCACGTCAATGAATAAAACTTCGATTCGAAATAAAAAGATACTAAAAAAGGGTGAACATTTTAAATAGACTTACTTGTTGACCCAGAAGTCGTCGTCGTAGTAGTAGTAGTAGTATTTGTGGAAAAAATATCTTGTAAATCATCATAGTTTGACTTTTTTCTAATACCAAGATTATTCCCAATCAAATTGTTACTATTGTTCAATGAATATTTTGGTTCAATCGGATGTGATATTTGATGACGTGACGTATTATGAAGACGATTAACAGGAAATGAATCTGTAGTGTCCAATAATAAGACATCTGGAGAGTACATCTTAGCATTAGAAGATGTGATAGGTGTGATTAGATCATCACTTAAGCCTAAATTCATTAAATCTTGTGTTAAAAGATCAGGAACATGATTAGATGATGTTGATGATGATAATGAGGAAGAAGAATGATCATTAGTTATAGATGAAGGCATATGTGGTTGATCATGTTTTAATGAGGAGGATGATGACCTTCGATTGGTTATTTTTTGTTCATAATTTGCTAAAACTTCACTAGCTTTGTCACATATTTGACCAATTTCAGCTAAAAATTGATGACCGAACAGAAGATAGAAAAGTAATAATACAAATACCACCATTAATAGTGGCAACTATTTATTTTTCATATATTTATTTATCTATTTAAAGACATAAACATTGGTACAAGGAGGAACCAAATATATATATATGCGCTGTACTTAGTGAGCGGCCCATTCTCCTCCACGAGGGGTAACAGGCGTAAGTAATTAAGAGCGCCAAACTTTATCATTTAATTTGTGTGAGGCCTGTAGCACTACTGCCCGGGCACCCGAATCAAAGTACGTAAGCATAAATTGAACAGTCAAACTAAGGCTGTAGATTGTAACACAATATTTATTCAACTTTTAACTAATAGGTCAGGGAAACTGTTATATCGATTGCTTGAGTGGGTGCCCTGTTTAGTATATGAACGATCAATTAGTGAGCAGTGATTTATCGATCGCCCTATGATACACAAAACTATATGAGCAGTCTTGAGTACTTATCAGTCCTGCTTTCTACAAAACCCCTTCTGATAATAATAAATTCTGATAATCATACAGTCAGCAGTTAATTTGCAAAATAACAATCAATTGTCTAAATCTTGACTATTCCTTCTGCAAATATAAGTCCATCTTCTCTGATTTCATTGTTCATACATTTTCATACCGATTGCGCTTCGTTCTTGTTCTTTCCTTATTGATCTTTTGCCAAAATACATTTTATGCTTGACCATTACTATATACTACTTATATGGATATAAGTAACCCACACCGTAATAGTACAAAGTTAAATAGGAATATACTTTATAATGTGTATTAACTGATCAATTCATTAGATTTAAATGAGTGAACAACTGAATAATTAATTTAAATATAAAACTATTTTCTAAATACAATTTATAATTTAATAAAATATACAGTAATAATTATTTATTCAGCAAGACTTTAACCAATGGACGACCTTTGAACGAATCTTAAGTGACCTTGAGAAATGTTAGCCAATCAGTGAACAGTCAGCATAAAGTAATAATATATTATACAAAACTAAAAAAATTAAAGTGGATACATCTCTTTTATATAATCCAAAAACTTGTTACAGAAAGATTCAAAGGTTCCAAAATCCTAATGCATAAGATAAAGGAACTCATCCATATGGCTCCATAATAGTTGGTCTCTGGAGCTATGACAAGGTCATAAAAACTCTCTCAGCCTCAACCACATAGCTTCAATATTGTTTGTATGTACTCCACTTATGTAAGTTTATCATTTTTATTATGGATATGTCCCTACAATACTCATGTAGTGCCGCGATTCGTTAACCGTTTACTTCGATAACCGTTATAATTCTAATCTTAACGGCGCGTAAAATCAGAAGACAAAGGATAGCAGCAACTACAGTTTATTGTCGAATGACTCAGGTCAGAAAGCTAACAACACCTGAGCGAATATGGACGAGCGAGTGAGCAGCAAGCGAGAGAGCGAGTGAACAGGTAAACAAGCGAAGGAAACGAACGAGGAGCAAGCGAGCAAATAGCAAGCAATTACATAGGCAATTTATAGTCAAATTTAATAAGGGCACAGCAAAGCAAAACAAAGGCTGATAATAATATTTGCGTGCTTACATATATGGGAAGGAGTATGAGTCATCGAATGATATTTAAGCAGTCAACATTTCGTCTAGAGTGTCATGTGCTCTAGTGGTATAGCAGTGCAAAGAATATGCAAATTGTTACTATCCAAATGACGGTGTCTGTTAAGTAAGTTACAAAAAGGGCTTAACCAAAATTGGCTATAATCGAAATTGATTGTAGATGGTTGCTATACTCATACTACTGCACAGCCGAAGCTTCAGTAACATCTGCGATTATTGCAGCCAATGTCACTGGTGCTTTTATAAAACAGTTCGCAGCAATCATTATAATATGCCTTAGTCTCAATTTGGAACGAAAGATCAAAGTTTCTATCCTAGCAAACGTATTCCTCCAACATATATTACGTCAAAGGACAACATCACGGTGGTCTTCACACTGTCTACAAGTCATTTAATTACCGTAATTACAAATACAGGAACTTCTTAATAGTCCCACTTATTTCAGCCGCTTAACTGACACGTTTTCTCTAAACTCCCTTATGAACCGATTGTACATAGGTATCAGGTACTGAAATAGGCGCCGTGACCTTGAAATTCCTCAAAAGCTTCTGATTGGCTCGTCCTTAATAAATTATTTCAATCTTTAAAATTTAAAGTAAAATAAACTTACTCAATGTTTCAATATCTTGTTCTTCATGTGTTAAAGAGAAACTATATAATAATGGACGTGCTCTACGTATATTCTGTACCAGTTCCTATATAGGAATTTTTAAAAAAAATAATGATAATGATGTATGTGGACGTGTGTGTGTGACAAGTTAATGATCAATTATGAAATAATTAAGCCTCCAAATGCCCTGATATGGCCGAGAGTGGGGAGGGCCCGCCCTCTCTTTCAAAATGCTCTTACACAGCCATGCGTATACAGCCTCTACCAGGGAAATCTTACTTCCTTCTTGCGGCATTACTGTTGTTTACGAAATTGAGAGGACGAAAGTCAGTCAGTCACAACGTAGAACTTTGTACATACGTATATCAGTTCGAGTTGCCATACCACATTAACACACAGGGTTAAAAGTACAAATTGATAGTATGAAAACATGTATATTCGTTTTAATGGTAAGAATAACAAAGGTTCTCGTTAATACATATATGCCGGTTGTTTAGATCTTCATATTAGTGTATAGGATTGGGATTAACCAGTCTTCTCTGGCATATTCCATCCTGTGAGGATTTCTTTGATGTTCCCATTAAGTCACAAGCATTCTACACAGAGATGGATGATGGCTAGATTCACTGAAACCACCGTACATTGAAGCAGCACACACGGACCTTCTTATAGCTGTCACTCCATCTACGATTGAAGAAATGAGGATGACTATCAGAAAAATCAAACGTGGAAAGGCAGAAGGACCTGACAATATACCAGCTGAAGCAATGAAGTCACACATATAAACAACTCCAAATATGCTCCACGTCCTATTTAGAAAGATTTGGGAGGAAGAACCAGTGCCGACAGACTGAAGAGAGTGATAACTCACCAAGATAACAAAGAAAGGAGGTCTGACTACATGGGCATCACACTACTGTCAGTGCCAGGAAAAATTGTCAACAGATTGTTGAAAAGAATGAAAAATTTAGTAGACGCCCAGCTTCGAGATCAACGAGCTAACTTTCATGAGGATTGACTATGTGACATCAAGTTCACAATGGAACAAGAGTCGAACGACAAGCCATCATTCTTGGATATATTAATCACCAGAACCGACACAGGTAAACTGGAGACTCAAGTGTAAAGGAAGACGACCCACACTGATCAAATTCTCAGCTACAATAGCAACAACCCAAGAGCTCACAAAATCAACTGTGTACAAATTTTGTTCAAGAGGGCAAGGACATAATGCAATACAATTACAGAAAGAAAAATACTTGAAAACCATCCTTGAAAAGAACGGCTATCCAGTCAACTTCATCAAAAAATACCAACCGCACCCATCGTTAGAAACGAAGTCAAGTACGGAAATCGACAAAAGGATCACCTTGCCATACATAAAAGGTACATCGGAAACGACAACGAGAATGCTGAAAACATTTGGAATAGATGTTGCTCACAAACCAACAAAATCCCTCCATTCAATCCCGTGCAAACCAAGGGATGAAATGACAAAAGAAGACAAACCGAACACCATCTACAAAATAAATTGTGCTAAGTGCGAGAATCATTACATCGGACAAAGTGGACGCCCTCTTCATCTTCGCTTGCATGAACATCAAATAGCTATCGAACGCTATGACATGTCTTCACTTGTATCAATGCAATTGGACAACTCCGGACACACATTCGACTGGAAAAAATGTGGAGATTTTGAATAGAGGCGATTCCAAAACACCAAAGAATTTTTAGAAGCTTGGCACACAGGTCAATCAACAATAAACAAGCACATCGAAATCAATCCAATTTATCAACTAATTAGGAACACTTCACTTCTACTCGAAGTTTGTGCTGATGATGTCGTTCAGAAGAACGATGAAAGCTCCACAACTAAACCATCCAGCTCAGAGAACAAAATTCCACCAAAATCATCCACTTAAGATACAAATCTTTTCCGCCAAAGTCACTAGTTTTTAGGCTAAACGTGCATCTCAAAAACAACCACATAACTTTGCAGTCGTTTACTGGGTTACATCTTATCATATAAGCCTACCCATAACCTAACTATTATAAAAGATCAAAATAAGTGATAGCTGTGCATTTACAACATAGATCTAAGTCATCTCAGTCAATGTAAGGTGAATATCAGCTAATAGGTAGGGAAAAAAGACAAGGAGACTAAACCGATAAATAGTCAAAGAAAACATAAAATTAACTACTTAATCCATCTTTAAGAAAATATTATTTTAGCCAACGATCATAAAATATTATCAGAAGGGGTTTTGTGGAGATTTAGTATTTTCATAGATGCAAGCGTGATTTAATTGAAGCTAGACCATCAAGGAAAACCTGAAAGCACTGGATGGCCCTTTCGTCATATTGTCGGACTCCTCAGAAGTGCACATCCACGATCTCGCCTCGCGAGATTCGAACCCAGACCCTACCAGTCTCACACCAGAGCACTTAATCGATAGACCACTGAGCCGGCCGGCATCCAACGGTGTTAATGTCTAACTTCAACCGTTCACCAATTGTCTTCAGTGAGTTCCTATCTCACAACAGATGTGGTTTGAACTCCACTGGTCATAAAATATTCAGGCACTTCTTCAAATACATTCAATGAATTTATAACTGATGCATTATGAAAGTGAATAAGTAAAAAGAGCATATAGATTAAATACTTACATTCATCAGTTCTAATTCAGCCTCAGTACTTTCACCTAATAAATATGTCCCAATCATTTCTTCTAATAATATTGTATTATTTCTTAAAGCTTCCATTTCACTAGTTCTTTGACTTACTTTTTCCATACGTACTTGGTCCTTAAAATGAAATGTGTAATAGACTCATGAATAAATAAATAAACGATGAGGAAATTAATGTAACTAATTCCATAAAATTAAAGAAACATCATTTGCCTACTGACTTAATTTATAAGTAGTTAATAAATGTTGACAAAAAAATATACATTGAGCTAGAATAATGAGAAATTCCTGAAAAAGACTAATTATATATTTCATAACAAACTGTTCAGTTACATAATTTATTAATTATTCCATCATAATCAAAGCAGGACCATATAGGATTATGGATTGGTACAGTACCCCTAGTTCATAGATATTAGTATACCAATAACTAATCTTCGATATTTCAATCACTAAATGTTACGGGTTAAATCCGATCAATGTTACATCACTAGTTATCTTGATCACTGAGTTATATTGTATTACTCGATCATACACTACTTTCAATGGTCTACTCGATCAAAAGTAGTTATGCTACAAGTAACAACAAGAAACGGATAGATACTCTGATATCATCACAATTTACAGATAAAACTCTAAGGTCATTTTTATTTGAACTAATAAGAATATATGATGCAAACTGTTACGAATTGTCACATAAGAACTATTTTGAATCGTAGTTAACATAGATAGCTTTGACCAGGTTACAAACCATAAGTGATGATGATATCATATACAAGTCAGATAGAGTCAACGATAATGTACTCAATAAAAAACTATATTAGGTAGGAATATATAGCCACTGCGTTACTAAGAAATTACAGTACTATCTACCACAAAAGTAGGTTCAGAAGAAAAATAAGAGACGTTAAACTAGGATACGACACCAGTTCATCAAATCACTAACTGTAGGTCTAAGTCGTGTGTCAGTACATTTAGACATCTTAGTTTAGTTTTGAGCAATAGCTGTAATCTGTGTTGAAGGTTTTACATGATATGGTTTTGTATTAAGGACAACCGTGAGAGTAAAGCTTGACAGACTACCTTCTAAAATTATTAGCTTTCGAAAATCGTAAATTTTCGTGTTTAGAAACCGGTTAACAGGTTGGTATCATATGAGTTAGATATAAGAGGCTTTACTAATATTATCAAAACTTCCATTCAAATGATTTACTTTCATACATTAAGTGTCAGTCAGTCACAAAGTAGAACTTCGTACGTACGTACATCAATTCAAGTTGCCATACCACATTAGCACAAAGATGCAGTTGTCAATTCGAATTTCATTGTGGTAGAAGTAGTAAGAGTATAAACAGTATTCTGAAAGATTAGGGTTTGAGGATGTTATTGAAGGAGCTTGATCCAGTGAAATAAATTTGGATAGAGAAAAAAGATAGAGATATGAAGAATTCAGAGGATTAGAATTTGGAAGAACAGAAAGAGTGAATGCACCTGCACCATCGCAAACGATTTTCAACCATGTCATTCAAGGTCTCTAACCATCCACTGCTATCATCTCGCGAATCCCAAACAGGTAGTCTACACCTACCAACATGGCTCAGTCCACTTGTCAGTGAGTGACCTCATGGATTTGTGCCATGTTTTGATCTGGCCGCCCCTAGCTTTCTTCCAACCTGCTCGTACACCATAAAGCATTGCACGTCGGGGCAGTCGGTGGTTGGGCATACGTAACACGTGTCCCAGATATCTCAACTGATCAAGTTTCACTACTTCATCAATCGATTTGCCATCCTTACCTAGTACCCGTTTCCTAACAACTACATTACTTACCCGGTGGTCCCCGGATATACGACCAATGCGTCGAAGATACCTATGATCAAATACTAGTAGCCTACGAATATCCTCTACTCTTACCGGCCATGTTTCACTGCCATAAAGTAGGACGAAACGAACTGCTGTGCAGTAAACCCGTCCTTTGGTTTCTAGACGGATATCTCGCCTACGCCATAAATGACGCAAGTTGGCGAAAGCTAGACGAGTCTTCTGTATCCGTGCTGAGATTTTGTCACACACCAGACCGCAAGGGCTGATGAGACTCCCAAGATAAGTGAAGCAGTCAAAATTAAGTGAGTAGAATGGTATTGTCTTTTTGCAAAATTCCAAATACAGTAAAATTAAAATAAGTAGACTTTTAATATAAACATTTAAAAAAATACACAAAATTACTTCTTCAACTATACTCTTGATAAGAGCATTTGCTTCACGTAGATCAGCTGGATTACGACTACGAAGTAATTGGGTTAAACGCTAAAAAAAAATTAGTTATCATTTGAGCGTAGTAAATTGATTTAATCATTTGATTCTTAACTGCTAAGTTGTAAATTTGAATCATGCTCAATCCAAATTTCGCTTGGAGTAATCAATCAGTGTTAATAAAACTTCGCAAAAACATTATGACCTAAGGTCGAGTGCATATGAATATGTAGTGTGGAACAGCATAGTAGATTAATTTGAATAAGGTAACAACACAAAATAGTTTTTTTTAAAGCTTAAAGTAACAACACTATGCTAAATAAGTACAATGGTTATGTGATATTTGACTAATTGTAAATGTGTAAACTCCATAAGTCTAAACATTACTGGTCTATCCGACTGAATACATTCACAAGCGTAAGTATTATTATTAAATTAAATGGTTTTACGTTTCAGAATGATAAGTCCTATTTTAAAAATTAAAGTAAAGATGAGAAGTAAGGACCGTAAAAAACAAGGGCTATAGATTTATGCAATATTTAAACGGCCCCCGAATGACCTGGTACGGCCGAGACTGGGGAGAGTCCGCTCCCCCTCTCCAAATGCTCTCACATTGCCACGCGTATACGGCCTCTGCCATGGAAGTCCTACTTGTTTATTATTATTTATTTAAACACATAAAGATTGGTACAAGGAAGCACCAGATACATATGCGCCACACAAATATCATTCGATTTGTGTGAGAGCTGTGATACTGCCCGGATGCCCAGACTGAAGCAAGTGGTTTTCTTGGGGGAACACACCCGGAGCCTTTGACCTAAAGGTCTGATCCACAAAGCAGTGGAGCATCGTGAGGAGATGCAGTCTCATGGTAGCGAGTGACCAGCACTAGGTTCATACACCATTTGTTCCCTAAGGATACTGGAGCCCATGTACACCATTGGTTTGGAATCAGAGTTTTCTAACTCCCCTAGGTGGATTTTCCGTGTCCACCGACCCGGTTAAAGCGTCGTACATTGACTTTTCATCCTATCAATTTTGTAAACAACATTAAGGCCACGAGAAGGCAGTGAGTAGGACTTCCTTGACAGAGGCTATATACGCGTGGCCATTTGAGAGCATTTTGAGAAGGAGAGTGGACTCTCCCTACCCTCGGGCCTACTTACTGCCTTCTCGTGGCATTACTGCTGTTTACGAAATTGAGAGGACGAAAACCGAATGTCCGGCGCTCTAACCGGGTTGGTGGACACGGAGTTGTAAGGTATCCGAAACATCTCTTTTTTCTAGTTGGCAATATAGTTCAATTTATAAACTCAAGACAGTAAAAGACCTCATATATTGCAAACGTACTATAAATGATATATCTGTTTATTACTTTAAAATGTATCGTCGCATGTTGTAAAACCTACATGAGAACCAGATATTCAGCACATTTTATTATCCTGATACTTGTGGAATGTTTTTTTTCAACTTAATCAAGAGATCATTATGGAAAAGAAGCTTTCAAGAAATTACCTTCAGAAGAAAAGGTTACCCCTAGTATTTTTGGAAAAACAATTAGCCTACATTTCACACCAGTAAGATGGTTGCAGTCCGTAGAAGAAAGAAATGATTTGCATGAAAACTGAACAATATATTAAACAAATTAAGGGTTCCACAGTCTTACTACTGTTGTCAAAGAAAGATCCCAAATTATTTTGTGGGTGAAGGTGGTATCAAGTTCGAAAACTAGGCTTAACACTTACATCTTGATGAATTACAAAACAAGTTACCCACAAGCCAATCTGAGATAGTGGAGATTTGTAGCTCAGGTGTATGATTTTGATGGAGTTTTGTTCTCTGAGCTTATTTCCTCCGATCGCTTGATATTTCACGTTTATTTTGCGTTTGTTTTCTGTATAGAAGCATGTTATTTCATTGCAGAAAAACCTATTCATCTGGTTAGTGGTTTTGTTTCTAACACCAAACTATTCAAAGCTTTAAGTAAATGATACGGTCACGTGGGCAACCATCGCTTGGCCACATTATAATATTATGCTCATCTATCGATTACCATTCTACTTACTGGCTTTAACAATTGAACATATTTATCTCCTTAGTCATTAAAAGCTTCCTCTATAACAACTTTTCCACAAATAACACTTACCTCTGATTTTTTATTACGTTCAAAAATATTTTGCCTATTTTCAGCGGCTGAAGAGCCTGAGCGACAAACCTACAAACAAAAAAAACAAAATGAAAACATTACATAAATAAGAGATAATGTATCCTACGTTACTCTTTACGTTGGAAATGTGTCACTGGACACTTAAATGAAGCTTGGAAAACGGTAATCCAATAAAACCAAGCAAGTTTCGAATCTTGCTACGGATCTGCTGACCAAACCTTTACCCTTAGGTAGGGCCTAGAAAACAGATAGATACTGCTGTCGAAATGTAATTATATTACCCCACTTAGAGACAGCATTCCACTACGATGACTGAGAAGTCCCGAAACGGTGCATGTAAATCTGAAAGCATTTTACCCTATTACTATTCGTCGACTGAGAGCTAATGACGAAGAGTAATTTGAAATAGTCATATCATGTGGCATACGTCAGGATGGCTCACTAACTCCACTTTTATTTAATTCTGTTATTTATATTCTGCCATAAATTATCGATCCAAAAATCCTATCAATTGGTTTACGATACCCGATTCCTAACCAGATTTTGTGTCAATCGAATAAATTAGTTCAAAATAAGCGGACTTGTGAAGTCAAATCTCATACAAATGTGTACCCATTCTAACCTTCATTTTATTTATTTATTTCAACACATAAATATTGGTACAAGGAAGAACCAGATACATATGCGCCACACAAATATCATTCGATTTGTGTGAGGGCTGTGATACTGTCTAGGTACCCCGACTGAAGCAGGTGATTTTCTTAAGGGGCCACACCCGGAGCCTTAGACCTAAAGGTCTGATCCAAAAGGTAATGGAGCAAGATCAGCAGATGCAGTCCCATGGTAGCCGGTGATCAATGATTGATTCGTACGCCATTTGTTCCCTCAAGATACTGGAGCTCATGTGCACCATTGGTTTGGAATCGGGGTTTTCCAACTCCTCTAAGTGGACTTTTCGTATCCACGAACCCGGTCAAAGCGTCAGGCATTTGCTTTTCGTCCTCCCAATTTCGTAAACAACAGTAATGCCACGAGAAGGCAGTGAGTAGGACTTCCCTGACAGAGGCTATATACAAATTTCACAATCATTTCAGCTACAAGAATTGATCATTTCAAGGTTAAGATCATCTCATTAAAAGCTTAGAAAAAATCTTAAGTGAATAACGCTCAAAATTATCAATGATCTCATCTCCTAAAACAAAACCATCTTGATACATGCACAAAAATCCACCAAAGGACACACACACATACACAACAAATATTCTAGACAAATGTGAAATCCCAACAGGATTGTCACTACTTTACAATGTTGATATTGATAAGTTCCACTTGCTTTAAGAATAATACACCTAAATGAAGAAGAGGAAGAAGGAGGTCAATATCATTGATTTAATAAGAAATAAAAACTATAAAAAGTTGTCGAATATCTTAAGAACAAAATGTTTGCCAAAAAAAATCATTTAGAATACTGTCCATAAATCATTTACACACCTTTACCCTACTAGTGATTAGTTTACCAATTCTAAATATTTTACAAAATGTGTATTTAATAAGATATGGTATATATAATTTATTTAAAAATTGTATTTGCCCCCAAATGTCCTGATTCGGCCGAGAGTGGGGAGAGTCTGCTCTCCCTCTCCAAATGCTCTCACATGGCCACGCGTATATAGCCTCTGCCAGGGAAGTCCTACTAACTGCCTTCTCGTGCATGGGGGTGCTGTTTACGAAATTGAGAGGACGAAAACAGAATGTCCGGCGCTTTAACCGGGTTAGTGGACACGGAAAGTTCACCTAGAGGAGTTGGAAAACTTTGATTCCAAACCAATGGTGCACAGGGGCTCCAGAATCCTGATGGAACGAATGGCGAATGAACCTCTTGTTGGTCACCGGCTACCATGGGACTGACTGCATCTCCTCACGTTGCTCCAGGGCCTTATGGATTAGACCATTAGGTCAAAGGCTTGGATAGTGGCCCTCTAAGAAAACCACTTGCTTCAGTCTGGGCATCCGGGCAGTATCACAGCTCTCACACAAATCAAATGAGATTTGTGCGGCGCATATGTATCTGGTGCTTCCTTGTACCAATCTTTATGTGTTTAAATAAACAAATAAATAAAAATTGTATTTAACACATTTTTGAAGGAAATTAACAAAGTTATTACTATGAACAATAACAATTCAAAGTACATTAACTAATACCTTGACAATACTTTTAATTATCTAATTCAAAGTCGAGTTGAAACTGTCATTAAGTCAGTTTTATTTAGCTCAGAATCTATCGTATACATTGTTACAATTTCTCTTATTATGACCCAGCTATTCCTATTGCTTAGTATTCTTGAACACTAATTCCCTCGACAAGTCCTCAAATCAGAACACCGTTGATTAGGAAATAAATTATATTCTGAATAACAAGGGGTAGATGAAGTAAGAAGCACAATAAGAGAAACGTTAGTATATTTATAGTTTTTACATGAGAAGATTCTATAATCTTCTCCAAGTATCCACTAGAACGGATTAGATAAGAAGTAGCCAATCAGTGTACACCAACACAATCCTGCACGGAATGTCCTTTAATCTAATCTACATTCCGCTAACGCACAACCACCAACCTAACTCACCACACAACAGTAAGGTTAAATTATTCAGGCAAATATTATTTAGTACAGTATCAGTAGTATCAAAGATAGTAAATACAATTGGACAGAAAATATTATTGAGAAAAGAATGGATTCCCGGAATAAAAGGTATGAAATAGTTTTAAAACTTAGGATATAAAGAGTGGATACATCTGTGTTCTTGAGATAGAACCGCAGTCTTATCACGCAACGTCACTAATCATTGGTTACGATAATCACGCACAAACCAACTACGTAGTCTGAACCTGACTGTGTGGCGCAATCCAGCAGTCAACTCCATGCACTGATATCATTCTTGGTTCGGTCGTCTCTATGCTTTTTTCCAACCTACGCCTACATCACGCCTCGAAGTAGGCAATGAAGATTGGTAATTTTATCAACCTATTTATCATTTTGGCTTACTAATTTATCCCTAACCTCAAGATTCCATATTTGGTCATCCCACTAAGCGTAATGTAGTATTAAATAGAGTAATAATACAAGTAGGATCGAAGCAACAGTGTTTGCTTCGTAATCTTAATTTTCATCCTTTGTTAATCATTCATCTGATAAGGAACTCGTTATTTTCCCAGAATGTTGTGCATATAACTGACAACTTCGACTCATTAATAATAACACCAGTTTGATAGGGAAAATACTGTTCTTAAATCTATTCAGAACAGATCCTGGGATCAATTAAATGACCAATCAACAGCTTAGTAAACACAATCGTCCTGATAATATTTGACCAACCCATTTCCTCCATCGGAACACTGGCGGGAAGGATAGCTGCTTGGAATAAATAGTGTACTAGATATGATCTCCTAGTTTGAGTAAAAAGTTCAAGAAAATAATGAAACTTAAGACTTATGGAGCGAAAATAGAATGTATCTGCGCCACTACGACCAATTTTAAGTCACGGAACCCGATGTATCCAATCACTGATCGTGGTTATACCGATCATTATTACTTAATTAGTAAACAACAGTTGTACTACTAGACTACCTATCGAATACATAAATTTGAAACAAGGTATTTCGAAACAGTTCACAAGAGAGTCAAATGGACTAGGACATACTAGTAGAAGAAAAGCCAAAGAATAGGGAAAATGTATTTTGCTTTCCCTAAGATTCATAATGTTACTATTCAGAATATTTTGTGGTGAGCTACTGTATGAAGTGTGACTAAATACCCTTGGGAATAGGTCGTGTAGACATAATGATCAGTGAGATACAAGAGAAATGTATTAGGGAATGACCTCGTACAAATGTGTGTACATTCAATTCCTCATACTTCACAACAATAGAAAAAAAACAGTAAAATAAAAATAATAATACATGGAAAGAAGCAAAGACAGTGGTTGACAAAGTAATTAAACAAGTCGTAAAAAGATTTAGGTTAAGAAGGGTGAATGCACTTGAATTATTATTATTAGAATAAAATGCGTTGGTACAAGAATATTAGACGGTGAAAAACATAACAGTGATTGTAACCGACTTTATGAAATGTTACCCAGAATTTTCATCAAACATAATCACGTAATCTGAATCTCCTTCATCATATATTATCACTATTCACAAAGTACAACCTAACACTTGTGTGTCGGTTCAAGTTGCCATACCCCATTAGCATAGAAAGATAAAATTATCTCGAAACCAATTCCAGAGTAGTAGAAGTAATGACAATATCAGTAGTAATATAAAAAAGATTAGGTATGGGAAAAAACGTATGAGATTTAGGGACTTATGTTATAGATGACGAAAAAGAGTGGATATACCTCCACCACTCAGTCTCTAAGCACTGCGTACAGAAATTATAAGGATCCCAACCAGGTAGTCTAGACCTGCTAAAACGACACAACCTAATTTCCAATGACTTCATGGACTGATGCCATGTTTTCGTTCACCTGCACCTAGTTTTCTCCAAACTTACTCCTATACCAAACATCACCCGTCAAGGTAGGCGGTGGATGAACATTCGAAACGCATCTCCCAACCAACTCAGTTAATGAAGATTTACCACCTCAATAATCAGTTTACCATCTTTACCTGGTACCTTATCCCTAACTTAGGCATCGGTTACTCTATGGTCTCAAAATACCCGACAAATGTTTCAAAGACATCATTCCACCTCAAATTTGCTATCGATGACACTCTGGAAACAACTCTGATGGATGTATGCCATAGTGGTGTGAATCTGTAACCTGGATAACTATTCGATTTTGAATAGGTGGACAATAGTCTTACTGTGCAATGATACCCAAACCATGCAATTCACATTTAATCAGTTGGCAGTCAGTGTTCACAGGTGTAGTATGTACCTTGCATCTAGAACTCATCGGTTAGAGTAGTCTGGCTATATACTTGTGAAACCTCACACAAATCAAATGAGATTTGTGTGGCGCATATTTATCTGGTGCTTTTTTGTACCAATATTTATGTGTTTAAATAAATAAATTACTGGCCTTTCCGAGTTGCAGATGTCACGTGACTCTCTGTTTTTGGTCATTGTTGTCTCAGGATTCCTGACATAAAGCATCAACGCCATGTTGGTGATGAAGAGATTCAGAAATTCATGTTTGGAAACAGAGACGATAATTCAATTGGTGTCACCATCTATAAAAATCGACTTCGGTAGCTTGGATATGTACTAAGAATATCGTCACAGCAAGTTCAACGCCGTACATTATTTGCTGACGCTGAGACTGGTTGGAATAAGCGATGTGGTTAGTGTATGACATGCTGTCGCGGTTTGAATAACAGCTGTACACGGCTTACTTCTGCTGATCCTTCACAATTCCTGGTTGGGGTTCTAGGGATAGTGCAACACAGTGGCTTTAGATGTTATTAGAAATGGCTCAGAATAGAAGCCAGTGGCAAACCTGCTTTAATTCGCTGTTACTTTCTTCATATAAGTGAGAGGAACTTTAATTGAAATTCTTCCCGGTTGTGTTTTTCTTAAGCGAACTGCTTCTCTAGTTATTATTATCACTATCTCACTCCTATACACTTCTATTCATTTTGTCCATTTTTTTCAATTTTACTGACCTTCCTTTCTCTATTCCTTCAAAACCTTGTTTTTATTGTGTGGCACATAAATTTTGGTGGCCCCTTGTACCAATATTTGTGTTTGAATAAATAAAAGACACCTATGACTGAATACCAGCAACCTACAAATATTCTCTATTCTCAATCACCATGTTTCACACTAATAAAGTGGACCAAAGCAAAATGCTAAGCAACAAACTCGTTTTTTTGGTTGACGGACAAATATTTCGCCTACACCACATGTGACACAAGTTGACGAAAGTTAATCAAGCTTTCTAATTCCGTGCCAAAAATTGTCAGACACTAGCCTATCAGGACAGAAGAGACTCCCAAGATAAGTGGAGCAGTCGATACGCTTGACTACTTCATTACCTATTATGAAGTCAGGAGCCTAGGCAGGTTGGTTCTAAAACACTATTTTACATTTGGATGGAAAGAATGAGGTCCAAAACATTCATACATTGTTGCCTGAAATTGTCAAAAGATTGTATTTTTTTCAGAGCCTTCACCAAACAAAACTACATCATTTGAATATTCTAAGTCAACAAGTGAATTTCCTGGCAAAAAATAAATACCTGAAATGCCAGGTGATAGTCTTATCTCTAAAAGTATGTCTGTGACGAAGTCAGATAAAAATGGGGAAAGTAGGAGTTTCCCATGAACACCACTTGAAGCAACCACTTCCGATGACAGTTTGCAATAAGTTCTGACTAGACCAGTACTGTTTGAGAGCGTCAGTACAAAGTTGGAAAAACCCCATAGACTCCACCTTTAGCAATATAGGTGCGTAACGTATGTTCACTGAATTACGAGTTGTAAATCCCTGTCTATTTTTATTTGAGTATTTAGGAATTATCACCAACCAGAGCGTATTGAGACTGAAAGTTAATCGTATGAAGACGGATTTCACTGCTAGCAGTAGATCCCCAATACCTTATATCACAGACCATTTGATAATTTTATATTAGGATTTCAGTTTGAAAGATAGTAAATATTACCTCTGAAACGGAGTCAGTAGAGACTATCTGACTCGCAGTTATAATACCTTCTCGAACAAGCATATTGTAAGCCTCAGCGAATTTCGGTTCATTTGGTGAGAAATCACGTTGCCAATTATGAAGCAACTGAGCACACTTGTTTTTAACACATGAAGATGTTTGGTCACCAAGATACTAAAAAGCAAAAAAAAACAGAAGTTGTAGAAACGTGAAACGTCGTGTACTGACTGAGATTTTCGTTATAAACAAAAAGAATTACAAACATATACGTTTACAGCATTTAAAGCCATATTACAAGATAAAAAAGAACACACATATCAAAGCAGATGATAGTTCACATTGAAAGTTAATGATAAACGAAAGTAGAAGCCCTTTACATGATCAAACATTATAACAGCACACAAAAGTGAATTGAATAGAAACAATAAAAAATATACGGAGAACACCAGATGATATGGCGAATAAAACAGTTGAATTATAGATGGACCTAAATCTTATAGAGCGAGACAAATTGAACTGACCATAAGAAGACAATAGAACATTAAAAGTACGTAATTCAGCAGAATATAGAAGTCTCTCATATCCATAGGTATATCTAATCGGCACCTAATTCAACAGGCTATAAAAACTCACACGAGAGAAGCGGTAGACCTACAAATTCATTGAACTAATAAGACGAATTCCGAAGAAAACTTTTTCACAGAACTTATTCACTAGTCCTAGTGTTAAGTGGGCTTGTTACTGCCGTTTGTAAATGAACTGGAGGCACACATACCACTTCATATGCAACTAGAAATTAAGGTAGGATTAAACTATACTGCCGAGCCAATCAGAAGCTTTCGCGGGTTTTCAAGGTCACGGCGCTAAGTTCGATAGCTGATGCTTACGTACGGTCGGTTTACAGCGGATTTTAGGGAAGACGTGATAATTTAGCGTCTACAATAGAAGCGATCATAAGATTTTGGCGCGAAATTCAATTATCCATTTGGATAAATAGAGTTTTGGCATTATAGCTGATGTCAGTTCGTGATGAAAACCCTAAGTATAATCCCTAGCCTTAATCATGAACTGTAAATCATAATTTGAATTCTTCACACAGGTTTATAACCCTCATTTGGTCCTAGTTATTATGTTGACACTCTCAGAGTCACTCTAGCGTCACTCAAAGGTTGTCCATAACTTATAGTCTCACCCATAACCCTACACCTAAATCTTAACTCTAACCCTAACCCGTAAACCATACCAATATACTAACATTATTGAAGCTATGTGGTCGGGGCTAAAAGAATTTTTGAGACCTTATCATGGTTTCAGAGGTCGACTACTATGGAGCCATATGGATGTGTTCCTGTACCGTATGCACTAAGATTTTAAAACTTCTGAACCTATATCTGACCTTGAGAAGTTTTTGACCCATGTAAAAGAAGTGTTTTCACTTTAATTCTTTGGTTTTGTATAATATATTTTTACTGTATACTTAACTGTCTTCTGATTGGCTAATATTTCTCAAGGTCATTGAAAATTCGTTCAAAGGTCGGCAGTATAGTTTAATGTTACCGAAATTAAGACTGAAGTTTTACTGCAGCTGACCACGAGAGCGAGGACATTTTTATTTATTTATTTAAACATAAATATTGGTAAAAGGAAGCACTAGATAAATATGCACCTCACAAATCTCATTTGATTGAGAGAAAGGATAAGAACATGAAAGAACCTTCGGGATGACCGGACCGACACATGAGAAAAATAAAGTGTCAAACGACAAATTTCGCAAAAAGTTCGTAATTTTCAACTTTACCTTGGGCGAGAGAACTTTGATTAGTTCGTTGAGAAACTTGAACTTTCCAAGTTCGGATATGAATGTTCGACCGCAACGCTTGGATAAAAACTCTAACAGCTAAAACTTATGGGAGGGGCAATAACTGTTACCATCAAGGAGCTAAGAGCTTCTTTTTCATGTGGAGACTTAATTTTATGGGCAAGAAGACGAAGAGTAAAGACTGGACCATTAGGTTGAGTGTCAATTAGCTTTGAAATTTCATTCACAGTGTCAGAATCGTACTGATCTGATATGGGGTTTGTGGCTTTACCTGTAATAGAGTTTTGTGTAGAGAGAAAGACAAGCTACTAACTTAATAACTTCTCGAGCTCATTCATTACCACTAGTTTTTTTTCGCAAGAGCCGCACTAACTCAAATCTACCGCTGACTTTTCAGAATCCAAATGGTTCAAATGATTGTGGACGGAATAAAAGAAGCTATCGCTTAATGAGCTTCTGTTTCTAGAAGCAGTGGATCACCAATACCTTCAGGCAGGAACCTAGGTATATTACCGATAATAAAAAATAAGAAATTGGCAAATCATAATAAGATGTTATCCTTAAATGGTTCAAATGGTTCAAATGGTTGAGGACGGAATAGAAGAAGCTTTCGCTTAACGGGCTTCCGTGTCTGGTAGCAGTGGATCACCAATACCTCCAGGCAAGAACCTAGGTATATGAACGATAATAGAGGGAAAAAAGAATTTGGTAAATCATAATAACATGTTATCCTTAGTCCTTAAGAATAAGTCAAGTTTTCTCTTAAAGGACTCCTGGGAGGTCGCTTGGACTATCTCAGTCGGCAGCGAATTCCAGCACTTGACAACTCTAACGGAGTAGAAGTTGTGTCTGCAGCCTGTTCTGCTATGTAGGGTCTCCAATTTCTGGGTGTTACCTCTGAGGTTAGTGTTATGACTAAGCTTAAGAAGTTGTTTAAGGGGATGACCAGAAGTATTAAGGATACTATAAGTCATAAGAAGATCACCTCTAAGACGCCTATACTCTAACGGGTAAAGGTTAAGTGATTTGAGGCGCTCTTCATAAGGTTTGAATTTGAGACCCCGAACTGATTTCGTGGCTCGACGTTGTATACGTTCCAGAGTGAACTTATCCTTTTGGAGGGAGGGAGGAAATACTATGTTTCCGTACTCTAAGTGGGGACGAATAAAACTGTTGAAGATTATGTGGAAGGTTCTACCGTCAAACTGGCCAAAAATGCGCTTCAATGTTACCAGTGCAATGTTTGCTTGAGAGGCGTTTTTGTCACAGTTCGCATACGATTTCAGGTCGTAGGGTACCAACACTCCTAAATCTTTTTCAACTTGGGAAACTTCTAGAGGTGAGTTACCTAAGTTATAACTATAGTCTGCAACATGTCTCAGATGGACTACCTTGCACTTTGAAGTGTTGAAGGTAAGTCGGTTGTCGTCTGCCCAACTTTGAAGTCGAGTCAGATCCTCCTGAAGAACTAGTATATCATTGTGAGTACGTATCTCTCTCCAAAGTTTCACATCATCAGCAAAAAGCAATAAATCAGATGAAACTTGTTGAGGAAGATCGTTAATATAAATCAAGAAGAGAAGAGGTCCTAGTATTGAACCCTGGGGGACCCCAATAGGACATTCCATAGCCTGAGAGAGAGTGAAGTTAACCCTGACCTTAAAGTGTCAGTTTTCTAGGTATGAAGTGATCCAGTCAATTAAAGGGGGTTTTATACCCAATCGTCCAAGCTTCTTGATAAGACATGCATGGTTGACCCTATCAAAAGCTTTTGAGAAGTCCAGGTAAATGACGTCAACCTTCCCCTTGCGATCAAGGATGGTTGTCCATTTATCCACCGCAGTCAGCAGGTTGATCGTACAAGAATGACCTTTTCTGAAACCATGCTGTTGAGGCGAGAAGAACTTTGAGGATGATAAGTGTTCTAGTATGCCGTCGAATACTAGGGATTCCATAATTTTTGAAGGTATGGAGAGAAGGGCCACTGGTCGGTAGCTTGAGGGTTCACTGCGTCGACCTCCTTTGAAAATTGGTGTGATGTGGGCCAGCTTCCATATTTCCAGTAGTTTGCCTCTGCTTAGCGAGTGTGCAAACATCACGCTAAGTGGTGTCGCCAGGATTGAAGCTGCTTCCCTCAATACGGCGGAATGAACCATGTCCGGACCAGGAGAAGTGTCCTTTTTTAGGTTCTGCAGTTTACGGAGCACCAAGTCAGCACTCAGGTCCACTTCGGAAAGTCCTGAACAGGTACAGGTGAAGCTTTCGTCAGTATGGTTGATGTGGGTCAGTTGGAATGTCCGGGAGTAATGTTCAGCCAAAAGGTTAGCGGCATCACTGCCGTTGTTGGTCGGGCCATTAGGACCAAGCAGTTGGGAAACTCCAGTTTTGCCTTGTCGAAGAGAAGCTGCATAACTGAACAAGCTTTTCGGATTGGAGACGAATCTATCGATAAGCTTGGTCTGGAACTGAAGCCTGTCTTCTCTTATTGCCTTTGTGCATGTGTTCCTTATATGTTTGTATTGCATGTACGCGCCGTTGTTATCCGTTCGTTTATATTCAGCCCAACAGTGCCTTTTGCGGCTTAGCAAACGACGAGTGCGGTTCTTGATGATTGCAGGTTGCTTGTAGCTTTTTGGGACCGTTTTAGGAACTGAATGCTCAGTAGCACATAAGATCGTGTGCAGTAAAAAATCCCAATGAGCATCCACTTCAATTTCAGGGCAAACATCCCAATCCACCTGTTGAAGATAGTTCTGTAAAGCTAACACATTCAACCGTTTGAAGTTCCAGCGCTTGTTGCTAGTAGGATATCGTAGCTCCGTCTTGCTGACAAAGCTGAATGATAAGACGGCGTGATCACTTTTGCCCAGGGGAGCCAGGATTGAGAGGTCGTCAACTAGGAATTCTTCGTTTGTGAATACCCAGTTTAAGCGTGACGTCGTCTGACTGTTTCTCCAACGGGTTGCCGACTTCACATTTTCAAATAATCCCAGGTCGCCGATAAGGTCGAAGAACAGAGCTTCAGTAGAGTTGGCAGCACCAATGTATGTATGTTCCACGAAGTTGATTCTAGGGAGATTGAAATCCCCTAGAATCAGGATATGAGAGAATCAAAGACGCGTGGAGCGAGTTAATCCTTCCAGCAGACGTTTGTCATATTCGATGTCGGCAGTGGGCTTCCTGTAAACGACCCCAACTAGGCACCTCGAGGTGGTAGATAATCTTACTGAGCACCATACTGACTCGCCAAGATTGTGAAACTCTTGGTTGTGAAGTTGGTGCGCATCCAGGCATGACCGTACGTATAGTGCTACCCCTCCCCCATTCCTGTTTTTCTGTCGTTGCGAAATAAAGACATCCCAGTTATTGCTAACTCTTGGTCCGTAAACTGAGACGTTATCCAAGTTTCGGATATTCCTATCAGATGGGCATCATTAGCGTTGCTAAGTTCATGTAGCTCATCCATTTTGTTTGGCAAGCTCGCGGCGTTCGTGTATAGGCAGTTTATGCTTTCAATTTGGAATGCGTGAGCCTTTTTTTGTTTGTCTATATGAGCCGTGTGTTAGTGGACAGGTAGCCTACCTATACGATGTTTACCGAGTTGGTAGTCTCTGTCCTTTACACGTTTTTTTTATGATCAAGACAGTCCACGAGTGGAATTGTCAGCTCCAGCTTTCGTTTGTGCTTGATCCTGCTGTCGTGGGGCCTATCCGGATGCATATGGATGCCAGTTGGCAACCGACGTCTATTGGCACGAAATGCTTCCAGAGTTGCAGCCGCCATGTGGGAGGAGGGGAAGGTTATCTTCAGCAACCGGGGCCTAGAGTCTCCGTCTCTCTTGGCCAGTCTCATTACCTGTTGGGTCAATATGTTCTTGAGTTTTAAGGAATGCTTGATGAATTTCCATTCCCGAATATCAGAGTTTGCTTGAGCTGGGTCCATATTTTCCGGCACACCTTGCACAATGATATTTCGTCCACGGAAGAACGCCTCGCGAGATTCCTTAGGGATGTTTCGGATGAGATTTCGTTCAGAATACGGTATGTCGGGCAGTATTCTTACGTTCCCATCGGACCTCAGTAAGTGACTGGCTAGCAGGACGTCCTCAACGTCGGAGGCATTCTTAAGTGTAACACGAAGCAGCCTCGGGTGGTTTAGGTGGTTAGAGTCCTTACCCCGAGTGAGCCGTGTGACGGTCAAAGGCTCTAATCTAGGGAGTTCAAGCCTCTTGATTAATTCTCCCCAGAGCATCCTATCGTTTTGTCCTTAGTCCTTAATAATAGGTCAAGTTTCCTCTTGAAGGACATCTGAGAAGTTGCTTGGACTAGCTCAGTCGGCAGCAAATTCCAGCATTTGACAACTCTTACTGAGTAGTAGTTGTGTCTACACTCCGTTCTGCTATATTGGGTCTCCAGTGTCTGGATGTTAACCCTTAGGTTAGTATTGTTACTAGGCTTAAGAAGATTTCTAAAGGGATGACTAGAAGTGTTAAGGATACTGTAAGCCATAAGAAGGTCACTTCTAAGATGACTTTGCTCCAACAGATAAAGGTTAAGTGATTGGAGGCGATCTCCATAAGGTTTGAATTTGCGACCCCGAAATGACGTCGTGGCTCGCCGTTGGATCGCAATGAGCATCCACTTCAAGTTGGGGGCGAACATCCCTATCCACTTGTTGTAGATAATCGTATAAAGCTAGCACATTCAACCGTTTGAAATTCCAGCGCCTGTTGTTAGGGGGGGAAACACGTTTTACCGACAAAAGTGAAGGATAGAACTACGTGATCGCTTTTCCTCTGGGGACTGAATACCCAGTCTAAGCACGATGGCGTTTGACTGTTTCTCCAACGAGTTTCCGACTTCACACTTTCGAATAATCCCGGGTCATCAATCAGATTGAAGAACCGAGCTTCAGTAATAATAATAATAATAATAATAATAATAATAATATATTTCTGCATTAGCAGGTACACGCCATTTTTACAGGCATGATCTACAATTTGCAACATATACTGGTTCACAGTATGCATCCCAAGCAAGCTTGTTTAGTAATTATAATCTATAAAAGTTGATAGCAGTTCATTCGTTCACATATAATGTGTTTTCATAAGAATAGTTTCCAAAGGGGCATAGCGTCCACGTTATATACCAGATCCAATCTCGACAAAAAGTGTAATAGGGTTTCGGTAGTTCTAAGTATTTATGTAATGCAGCTTTTTAAATTTATAGTTGTTATAAAGTAGGCTTGTGGAGCGCCTGGTTTGAGCTATGACCTTGGGAAAGCGCGTTCGTCAAGCTTTTTCCAGATGTCAGAAGTTACATAGCTTCACCCTCAGAGCAAGATTCTGAAGAGAAAAAATAAAAGAGAAACCGAGGAGCAGCAAGGCATTTGGATAT